AGTCTGCTAGGATGATTTGGCTAGCCCCCTTGAATTTATGGGTTTGTTTCCATATGGGAAATGTTATTCCATATTGAATACTATTGGCAACCAAATTTAATACTGTCATGGAATTTCTTGTTTAAATAATATTGATGCTGTTACTTTTATATCTTTGATATTGTGGCTAGTAGTTAAAATCTAAATATGAATTTTCATATAAATTGGAAACATCTACGCATCAGCAAAAATATGAGACATGTTCATGATTGACATATTCTGGGACTTGTCCTGTATCCTAAATTGAGACTGCATGTTAGTACTATTTGATGAGTGCCCACCTCTGATGTTGAAACCATTCAATTTACTGTTTTGTATGTATCTCTGTATCAAAACAATAGACCTGAGCTATTTGGGAAACATGAAGGGATATGTTTAGGACAAAAAAAAGTTTTTTCAAGTAAAATGGCAACCATGCTACCTCCCATCAACATATACAGCCATGTAATGGGCAATGGAAAAAAAGTTTTAGGTCCAAGAACATCTCTGTCAAACATCAACTGCATCTGACTATTCCTTAAAAATTTATGACCAAACAAAGTCAGATGATTACAAGTCACCATCCAAATTTGTTTGACTATCTTCTGAATGGACTCTCAGATGCAGCTGATACATGTAGAGAGACCATCCCCTTCCCCTCTGTGTATCATGTCTGTTGTTTGTGTCTGCTGCATGTCCAATTTTTTTTTTATTAAAAACAAAATATTGCTGCCAATTGAAATTAACTCCTTAAGTTGGGAATTTTTCAGGCAGAATTCTACCACTGGAGTCAGAAATTATTTTCATGGGAGTAACAATTAGTGTTGGTGAGAAATTTACCACTCTTTCCCAAAATTTACTCTTACTTTTCTCAGGTTTCAAAATTATATTTAACTCAAAATATAACAAGAAAAATAAAAAGGCAAATCCCCTTGGGGAACATTTTACCATGACAGATATACAGGGTGCATCAGCTATTTGAGAACAAAATTTGACTTTGAGGAAAACAAAAATATTCAGTAGAAAAACCAATATATTTTCATAGAATTTGGTACACATGTTCTTACATACACATAGCAAAAGGCTATTTAATAAAACCGCCTTCAACCTCGATTATGGCCTCGATGTGGCTTCTGAAACGACTACATGCATTGATCAGGTGATCCTTATTTATGTCTGCCATAATGTCCCCGATGGCAGCCTTCAACGAGTCCTTGGTATTATGGGCATGCTTGTTGGTCTCCCTCTCAACGACGCCCCAGACGTAGTAGTCCAGGGGGTTTAAATCAGGAGAGCTAGGAGGCCAAATGTTAGGGGTAACATGATTGTGAAAATTTTCAGCCAGCCACTCCTGGGTCATGCAGGCTGTGTGAGAGGGAGCAGAGTCTTGCTGGAACACGTACGGCCTCCCCCGAGCCACTCCCTCAATCCAGGGCATGACAAACATGTCCAGTGTCTCGATGTAGGTGGCTGCATTGACCCTAAGACCTTGCAGGAAAAAGTGGGGAGGCATGGCATGGCCCTCATTGCTCACGACCCCCAAGACCATCACAGGCGATGGGAACTTGCTGTGCATAACAGTGGGGACCTCAGTGGGGTTAGAGCAGAGCCACCTGTCATTCCTCCTGTTCACTTTTTGATCTTGATCAAAGTTCATCTGGTCATCTGAGAAGAACCAGAGCATGTTGGGCTCCTTGGGGTGCTTGAGTTTGTTCAGCAAGCGCTTTGACTGGATCACACGGTTCTCCCGGGTTCTATCGGACATGAACTGCCCTCTTCTCATAACATAGGATTTGTACCTGATGTCTTTGTGCACCACGCGTCTGATTGTTGACTCCGACACATGGAACTGATTGGCAATGGCCCTCATCGACTTGCTGGGGTTCTCGTTGATGATGCCCTGGACTTGCTGGACAAACTCGACTTTCCTGACAGCGTCTGACCGTTGAGAATGTTTTTTTCTTTTGGCCACTGAAGACACATTCCTGCCAGAGGCCAGGAGCTCTTTTCTGATCTTAAACATGAAGGACCTGGCGACATATAAGAAGGTTGCAATCTCTGAATCTCCATGGTTGGCGGCTAAGGTGACGAGAACGGCATGCCTTTTCATTTCCTGCGTTAGATTTGAAGCTTTCATGTTGGGGCTGAAAAAGAAATGAAATATTTAGTTACAGTTTAGGCCACTTATGGCTCTCTAAAAATTGTGTTCTCAAATCACTGACACACCCTGTACATGTCATACAATGTCAGGGGTTAAAGGCATCTTCTTGTCATGAATTGGCTCATTTGTGCTTTCAAGCCTTCTGAGATTTGCTTGGTGATTTTTACACAGATAGTGGGATTGGACACCACAGAGGGAGGCCTTGGTGTTAGTGTCTGCAATGAAAATAAGTTACATGTATGGGAGACTAAGCGTGGCACTGTCCGGGTGAGTCCAATCACACCATTCTTTCTTGCATGTTTTGATTTTCTCATGAGGCTCATCAGATGGCTGGTTCTCTTATAGCGAACCCTCTGTGGACACATGGGGGATGTGTACACATGCCACTTTTTCCCATCGGGTGTGGTGATTCTGAGTGGAGGTGCAGACATGCAGTTGCGCATATGGTCTGCTGAGACTGGTGAATGTCCAGTTGTCCTTGTTGGACACATTGGTGCCATCACTGACACAGCTATCATTGATCGAGGACGCAACATCATCTCTGTCTCCAAGTTTGTTTCCATGATACTTTTTTAAGGCTCCAAAGTTAGTAAAAATCATCATGGGATCTGGCTTTTTCCCATATTTTTCCCTTCCTCACTGCTCACATTTTTATAGATGAACTTCTAAATTAAGCTTGTGCCTAAGACAGATACACAACACTCAGTCTTGTAAAGAAAGCCTGGCAACCATCCCTGTCAATGCTAGTTACAGACCTGAATATAGAATTAAATTAAATTTGGTGGTGGACTCACATTTTTCTGTCAAATACTGAGTTTCTTGCATTCAAACTTGTTCCCTTCTACTCCACCCTGTATTTCTCAGGAAAACCCAACAGTATATTTGTTATTATTCTTGAGTTCCTGAGAGCGGGAAAGTCTTTCAAATCCCCTTAGTTAACCCCTCAAGCCATTTTCATGTACTCAATTTCATGTACTATTTTGCAGTGCCATTTATAAACTGTCATCATTTTGCCATTTGTTGTCTGATTTTGGAACTCATTGAAACTCTGTGCAGAGCATGTTCAGAAAAATATAGCAACTCCAATCTGGACAGAATGGCTATTCTAGCTGTGAAAATCTAGAAGAGTTATAGTATAAATGTATGCTTTTTTGTCAGAGTGTTTAAAAACAGAATGCTTGAAGGGTTAAAAGGGGAAGGCCATCTCATGTTACTTTAGGCAACTATACTGGTTAGGATATTCACATGTGTGATATTGCATCATAGCAAACTCCTCTAATGACTGACATGAATAGTCAAAACGGAGAATTTCTTTCTTAGCATGGTCAACTTCTTGTCTTAGTAGATGGTTTCCAATTAGTAAATTGATGTACCAGGTCACTATCTTTTAACTGGCTCCATCTTTCATAGAACCACATAGAATAGGTTGAAATCCCTGGGTCACAGAAACTTCAAGCAATAGACTAAATAGGAAATTGAGAATTTTGAAGTCCATTGTGTGTGATGATATGTCATGCCCATCCTTCCATCTGAGCCTCTGCAGGGATGGAACTGCACGATTGTGGGACTGTGGTGAGAGCCGATGCCTTGAGATCCTTCATAATGCACATTCAGTGGTGAATGCCTGCTCCTTGCATGCTTCCCCCTTGCTCATGAACAAGTCTCCTTCCACACCTGTCAGTGAGTATCCATTAGTCATAAGCCATTTTTCTTCTTTACTTTCTGCTGCAAGACACTTTCCCATATCTTCAGCCTTTGAAAGTAGCCTGAGTAATGATGGGAACAAGGATTCCCTTGGCAACTGTTTGAAATTCAGCCTCTACAGGATATGACAAAAAACATGTATATACAGGGTCTTGCATAACCTTTTGCTAGGGGGTACAATTTTAAATACAAATAGAACAATTGTAAGTTATATATTAATTTAAACCTTTATTCAACCTGAATACAGGAATGCATCAGTATTTTGTGTGACTGCCATTGGCCTCACATACAGCCCTCAAATGTTGAGAGCATAATTTCAACAAATTTTCAAAAAGTTATGCTTCATTTTTCATTTAACAGAATAACATTTTGGACGTTTTGCAGGACAACCACTTCAGAGTTTTGGTCAGAACCAAGCTCACTAATCATCATGCTTTCTATTTTTTTCTTAAAGCCATTATTGGTATGGTATCATTGTCTGATTAGCTTTCCACGCCAATTTGAAATTATTTTTTGTAACTCGACAGCAGCTTTTTTTCTTTGTCTTTTCCCACTGGTCTCCATCACAATGTTATTCCTCACTTGAGACAATTTTTCCAGCCTGCCATCATAAAATTTCGTAAAACGAGATTCGTATCCTTTGTTCCAGTTGTCAGTAACTCAATCTCTCACTGCGATTCAGTGGTGAGATAATCACTTTCAATTGATAAATGTTACACCTGCTTCCCTTGCTTCTTGATAGGTGTAAGCTCAAATGCGCTCCATCACACGTTGCCTTTCGTCATCGCCAACCACCCCAGTGATTATAATTTTCAATGACAAATATGAAGTCAGAATAAAATTAGCTTTTAAAATATGTATAACACTCATATTTTTTATGCTTCATAATTGTTGTAACCCCCTAGCAAAAGGTTATGCAAACACACTCGCTATTGTCGTGCCTTTGACGCTCCATTACCAGGATAGTGATTCATTCAATAATTTATTTTCAAAGTGGAAAAAAACCTATTAAAAGTATGTGCCCATCAGAATGTGTATCAAGAGAGAACAAACCGATATTTTCATCAGAATAATTACTCACATTGTTTCTTGTTTGCCTAACTTCAAATCTCTTCATAATCTGCCCTGATGGGTTATATTTTGAATAGTAGGACATGTACTCAGCAATTGAACTGGTATTTCTACTCAAAGTTTCAATTTTCTTTAGTTCTCTCCTTCATTGAATCAGAAAAGTTTCCAGAAAAAGCACCTTTTCAAAAAATGTATGCTCCCAGGGCATGTATCCAAAACTTGACATTTTTCTTGAACTCAGAATCTCAGTATCCATGTCACATTTCAGCTTTCCATGTTTATCCGTTTGACTGAAGCAAAAAAAAAATATTTGAAAGTATCTCCCCCTGAAGTTTGTGCCCCCAGGACATTTACCTCCAAAGCCTGAATTTTTCTGAATTCAGATTCTCAAAAGGTATTTATGTATCAAGGTTCACCTTTCTATCTCTGGCCAATTCGCTAGGACAAAAAAAAATTTTTTGAAAACGTCACCCCCCAAAAGTATGCCCCCATGGCATGCATCTGAAACTTGACATTTTTCCTGAAATTTGTGTCTCCGTAGGCACGTCCATGCCAAATTTCAGCTTTCCCTGTCTCTCTGTTTGACTGAAGCAAATATATATCAGTGAAAACATCTCCCCCCAAAATGGGTGCCCCCAGGGCATGTACCTCCAAAGTCAGATTTTTTCTGAACTCTGCATCCCAAAAGGTACATGTGTACCAAGTTTCATATTTCTAACTTCTCTAGAACATGGTTAGAATTAGCATCAGTCAGTCAGTCACGATCATCTATATATATTAGATTTTTCTTTCACTTAAGCTTTTATGCATCCTTTAAACCTAGTTAGCTCTATTACTTTTAATTAATTCTAATGAATTTATAAATATAGGCTTTTGTGGGGCTAGCAAAATTTCTGTCAGGAATGAAAACTGCAAAAAAATTATGTCCTGGTTACATTGATTTTTCTCATTTTTCTTGAGTCCAATATGAGCAGAGTATTTTGAAGAGCTTTTGAAGTTTCATGCAAATTGATATGACCAAAGCAAGACAATTAGCAATTATTCAAAAGAAATCAGATATTGAAATTGGCTAGGGAATCAAATCCCTTATAGGTGTGCTATCCTCCTGCCTCATTCTCTGATGAAGACCAAGGGAAAATCTGAGTAAACTCTGAGTAAACTTTTAGTTTAGTAGTTTAGTTTAGTAGTTCAGTACTTATTGATTCATCTGTCATTGGTTGGAATAAATCTCATCTCATATTGTTTCATCTGCTAGAAAAGGCCAACCTAAAAATTTAATTTCAATAGAAGTTTGATGATATGCAGACCACTGAGAGGGGGGGGATGTTCACCTCTCCTCTATGGGAATGACCTCATCTCTACCTTGTTTAGTTTCATTTTCCAACTTCTTAATCATTGTTCATAGTCTTGCCTTGGAGCAATGAATTTATAAGAGAATTTAAGGAAAACTTGGCCATAAATGCTCAATGTAGTTTCATGAAAATAGTTCCTGTGGCAGCAAAGATAAAAATATGTGGTTTTTTCCTTATACCCTGTGTATGCTGCATTCAGGAAATTATTGTTGAATGATTTCAGAAGTTGCACAAAAACCATTTACAATGGAGATCCCAGATTGGCAGCCTGTGCAGGATATTGTTGTGGAAATTTGGACTTTGACCAAATAAATAATGAACCTTCGCTGACTTCCTTTGCTTCAGTTTGCTGCCTGAGTTTGAAATTTGTCAATGTCCTGTCATTCCTTGTTTTAACATTTTATGAGAAGCTGTGAAAAGACTTTCCCATATGGTCCAAAAATCTTGAGTGCTGTATGATTTGAAAAGTCTGTTCATCTTTTCATGAGCAGTGGAAAGTGTACTTCCATAATGTTCAACCCTCCCTGTACTCTGGGAAGGCTGCACACAAGAAAAAAATTTGCTCACAAAATTGTTTAAGATTTGTACTAATTAGTGGCTCTTCCTTTTGATTCATTGCTATGTTGATTCTTTTATATGCTATTATACTGAGAACGGATGCTCAAAGATGAAGATCCATAGGGAAGGGCCATTGAAGTGATTCTCTTCTGGAGGTTTCAATCAGCTGGTGATTGATGATCTAGACCTGACATTATTGAGATTCTGCCTGATTGGGAAAGACTTAGGTGATGGAAATATTTTGTGTCATTCCCAGGTGATAGGGAAGTGGCTACAGAGGGAAAGATGCTGCTGCTGGCCTGTGAGGCAGGGAACCTTCAGGCATTGGATGTGCGAAACCGGGAGCTCCTCTTCACATTTCCCTGCCCTGATGCAGCCAACTGTGTGGCCTGGCTCACTGAGCACCACTTTGCAGTTGGATGCCAGAATGGAGATGTGTTGCTTGGGGACATCCGCAGCAGCACTTTGTTCCCTGTGCTGGCCTTCACTGACTCTGCCAGTCCAGCCCTGTCCCTGCTTCGTTGGGGAGAAGGGAACCGCTTGTTTGTTGGGCGCTCCGATGGCACTGTAATTGGCTACTCATCTGACCCAGCTCAGCCCAAGCTCCAGCTTACTGGGTCTGACTGTGATTCCATCTATGGCCTGAGTCAGGATTCCTTCCATGTCTATACAGCCTGCCGTGATGCTACCATCCGCAAGTACAAGATTGACTCACTGTTCTGAGTGGTCTGGAACCAGGAAATGATTTTGGACTGTGATTTTTCTCTGCATTCTGGGGACATCCAAGTGCAAAATTCTCAATATGTTCAGTTTTCTCAATTGCTTATGTTCATAGAATCTTATTATTATATCAACCTCCATAAGCTTCAAGATGCCACTGTCAAGAGCTGTTTTTGACATTTTCTTCCTAAAAAGAGTGGAGCATGTTTCATGGTTCATGAAAAAGAACTGGAATACTATCCTCTGGGAATGGAAAAGTTGTAAGTTCAAATTGTGGACATGGCAACAAGCAATTGACTAAGCTTCATTGCTTATGGTTGCTGTGATATCCAATGCCTTCATGGAACTAATGTGGTGCTCACTTACTTGGGAGAAACTGTTAATGTCAAGCCTTTACTTGTCTCCTTTTTGTGTCTAATATAAATAGGAAAAACTTTTCCTCCTCTTGTTGACCCCATAGGCCTCACATCTTTGTGCATTCATCATATGCTGGTCATATTTACCATTTTTGAGTTCACTACTTGCTGTTCTCTTCTACCATGTTCATCTGGTCATGGCATTGGATTACTATGGGCTTTGAAAGAAGAAATGTTTCGTGAGTGAGGATATGGTTCCATCTCCTCCAGGCACATATGATGCCTGCAGTACTTCAAGTCACCCTAGAGTTCTTATTCATATTTGTTTGAGTGTCTCTGTGAGTGAGTCATAAGATCTGATCCCTCTTCATCAGGGTCTGTTCACATGTTTTTTGACAGGAGTGGACAATGGCAGTGAATTTGGTTCGTGGAACCCTCCTCAGATTTGGGAGACAAGGGGGTTATGTTGCCCTTCAGAGACGAGGCTTTGCTGATGCACCACAGATGGCTTTTACTTTCGCTGCACCAAATGGGGTAAGTTGGAACTGTTACCTTGAATCTAACTGTATCTGGGTACGAGACTCATGTTATGCACAAAATTATTTACATATCAGGGAAACTTTAGAAACCCATCAAGCCACTGAATTTTGAGCAGATGTAGCAAGAATGATTGAGTCCAACAGTAAAAGATTTGAACAGTCTATGTATTTCCTTGTAGCCCTTTTAAGTTTAAGTGAACCCTCCTTTCCATACAGGAAGGCCTTATATTCTCATTCTGTGTCTGTGTCTGCCTGTCCCCACTTTTGCTGTCTGGCAATCATGTGACACTGTCGCTGAAAAAATTTGTAGGGAGCCACATCAGGGCAAGGTATGATTCAGTTGATTTTTGGTCAAGTTTTTGACAAAAATAAGCTTGTTATCTCTTTTTTTTTTTAACCCTTTGGTGATTTCTGGGGTGATATATCATCTTAGAGACAAGCTTATACTTTTTTTGCTTTTATTTTCTCATGAGGTGTGTAGTAGGGTGGTCCAAAAAAAGCACTTTTTTTTTTTCAACTTCAAATTTTTTGTCTTAGCCCCTCATCTTTGTACACTTCCAAATAGAAGCTTCTGTGCAAAAAATCTGCTCAATTGGAACATATTTAAAGGTTGCTCAAAGGATATTTAGTTTTCGTCATTATAGCGCTGGCAGTGTGGTGTTGCAACCAGACTTCTCTCACAGTTTGTGAGTGAGTGCTCCTCCTTGGGGGGGTTCACCGTTGCAAACTGTCATCATTGCCTAGTTTCTCCATGCTTCTGTTGTGACTTTTTGCTTGATTTGCAAAAATGCTGCTAAACAAACTTAGAGAAGGTATTGTTTCTGTTCATCATATTTTGTGGTGATTTTGCCCTAGTCAAGGATCAACTTCAATGTCCATTCAGGGTAATGATGGACAAAACCTTCTAACTGCACTCATGTACTGTTCAATGTCAATCCATGTAGAAGGCAGTTCAAGTAAAAACCATTGATCAGTATCAACTGAGATGAATAAGAACATTGAGAGTGGGGACATGAAATCTCTCATTTATATATTTTTGGATCATGATCAGTCCATTTTAAGCTACTTGTTTTTTCTTCTTTCTCCTCCTCCAAAATATTTGATAGGCAGATAGATTTAATAGATAGATGCAAAGAAAAAATATATATCTTCCAAATATTTTATAGCATGTCATTTTTCTCTGCATTGGTCACTTCATTCAAGAATAAGCACAATGCTACTAATGGTTCTTACTTATGGGAACCTTATGGCAACCTTTGTGACCTTCTCATTCTCAGATTTTTATGACTTAAGTCTTCAGCATGTTGAGATTGTTAATTGGGGCTGATGCAGAATCTAAATATGAAAACCTGGCTTTCATGTAAATTAGCTGTATATTGTTTTTTACTTTTATTTTATGAAATTTAGTTTTTAATTATTTTATTATTCTTGCTCTTTCCCAAAACTTTAAGACTTCTCAAGCAGTCTTCCACATGAAAATTCCTTATATGACAGGGTGTGTGATTCTATATGATCATGCATGGTCATATGGTTGCCATATATCACCATATATGTATTCATATATTAACAATTGTATGGTGTATAATATATTTTATCAATACTTGCATTGCAATATTAAGTGTGATGGCATCATGTCTGATATGTGGTGAATATCCATAGATGAATCTTATGGTTGTAAGTAAAACATAGCATGAGGTAAGTGGTGTATTTTGGCTGAAGAGTCAGGGGAGACAGGGCAGCAGAGTGGAGGCACCAAGCCCTGTCCCAGGGATGCCAGGGGGGGCAGCCTGTAAAATATGCCACTGCATGAGGTTGTTACCCATGAGGGCAATTGATCTTCATATGCCTCTGCAACTAATTTTTAATGCACCCATTATATTTTACTTGAAATATTGGCTATGTATAGCCTTTTAAGTAATTTGCAATAAGTTTGGTTTCGAACCCACCCAGCTTAAAATCCTAGTTGGAAACAGCTATAATTTCCAGCTGGACTACAGTTGGAAATTCAGACCCATTCCAATTGAGTAATAGCTGGAAAGTAAAGTCATCACCAGGTTGTTCCTAATTGCAATACACTGGTGGAATGAGAATGTTTTTGTTGGCTATTCTTGCTGGAGGTCCATCTACAGTAGCAGCTGAATTTCAACTGTAAACTCAGCTGTATTCCAACTGGAGGGTCCTCTGTATAAAATTATAATGGTAAATTTCCAGCTGTGAAGCAACCTGTACATACCATTTTTCAGCTCTTTGCCAGCTGGAAAATTCCATTTGGGATTTCAAACTGAGCCCTACCTTCCCTAGGTAGCATGAGCATATCGTGAATAGAAAAAGTGTGGGAGGGTGGGGCATGGGAACTCTGGGACACTGTTATCATGCATTTCATGTGTCTTTTCCTTTGTATTCATGCATTTTTTGTTGTTGTAATGTGGGGGGTACATGCTGTGCCATGCCTTCATTCAGCAATTCCTTCATTAGATTATTTCAGAAAGAAATACTGTTTTTGTTCCCATCTATCTTGCGAGTTGTCAGTCAAAATGAAGATACTCTTACATGAGAAAGCCAAGTTTTGTCATGAAATAACATTACTGATGAAAATACTTGTGAAGGTTCAAGTCTGTAATATTGAGATTTTCACCTTCATTAACAAGGGTGCATACATTGAACACCATGAAACATGAGTTCTTGAAGTAAAGTATGATGACTTGCATATGAATGATTATACAGTATTTGATGGATTATGGACCCTTTTTGGATACAGGCATGTTTGGGGTAATCTCACCATACATAGATATGACATAGCTTATGTGGACAGTATATGGTGCATTTGTATGAGCCAATACATGAAAATGTATGGGGTCATATATTTTCATTCTTATGGGATTTAATGCAACTTGTGTCAAATCCCATATATGGTCATATATGCCCCATATATGTTGCACTGGCTAAATATATGGCCATTTCATATATGGTCTTATATGAAATTTTCACATGGGTTGTTGCACTTTCATGAATTTCTCCTTTGATTCCTCTTTGTTTGAAGTAGTTGAAAATAGTTTAAGTGCTTTTAACTTTGATGGCAATTTATCTTCAAGAATCTCTCTCAAAGACTGTCCAAGGAGCCTGTTTCAGAATTACTTCAGATCTTTGGAACCCTGCCTCTTCTTTTCACTCATTTTGCAATAGCATAAGGGGAAAAAAAAATTAAAAATTGCAGCAAACATTATTGCATGCACCAAAAAAAGTTGGCAATACATTATAGATCATTGGTGACATAATAGATAGTGGATATCCTACAAGGGCAATTGTCCTGAAACTTGAAGTTCATTGAGCTACCTCTAAATTTCAATCAATTGAGTAGAACATTTGCATGTCCTATTCCTTTGGGATATGTACAAGAATGGGAGGGTAAGACTTGAATATTTAAGAAAATAGTTTTTTTGGACCACCCTAGTGAGCAGGGATCTTCAGATTCTTGCATAGTTCTATCCAAAGTGACACATGTGCCTAAACCTCTGTAGTTGCCTCTATAAATTGCTGAGAGTGGCCTTGACCAAGACAGGTCAAAATGTGACACCTGGGCTTCAAAGAGGCCTCAACTCATGGTAGGCATTACCATGAAGCTGCTTTTTTGTAGAGGCAGAGTGGCTTGTCAGACCCCTGTGCAACCCCTTTTCCTTGGGGAAAGAATGTAAATGAGCATTCTCCAGTTGTCTGCCATCCAACTAACTCAATTCCTCCTGGGACTGTAGCTATTACCACTTGAGCATCATGGCTAATCTGGCAAGAACCAATATCACATGTTTGAATAATTTTATATTTTGCACATTTTTCTTGCAAGGTTTTGCTTGCCAAATTGTGGCAAAACTGAAGTTATTAATTTGTCATGCTTCCCAAGAACTGGAAACTCCATTGTTGAGATCACTGACCATTGGCAACACCTAACTTCATTTTTTTAATCTAAAAAATTAGACCCTTCATTCCTGAAGGGTCTCATTTTTGTAATAGGCATGATGATAAGGGAAAATACCCATTTGCCAAGTGATCTTATCCTGATCTTTAGGCCATTCATAGTTCTTGTAGGCAGCAAGACTATAGAAAAGTAAACCAGGCCATCCCTCACAGTGAAACAGAAAGTAAACACGAATCATTTGGTAGGAAATGGAAAAAGTTGAGCAGAGAGAAGTTGTTAGCATGGACGTCCAAGCTCATCTGTTTCCACAAATTGGAAAATGCAACCTTGGGTATAATGACAATTTTTCCTTGTCCAAGCTTCAATGAGGTCATACACTGTTTTCGGATTGAATTGGTACCCCCCCTAGGAGCGCTTCCATCAAGTATAGGCAGGACACCTTGTGGGAGGAAGGTGAAGTATTAATAGAACCATCCAACAACCATGTGGAGCATCAGGCTATACACTGTATTCGGATTGAATTGGTGCCCCCCCCCCTAGGAGCACTTCCATCAAGTATAGGCAGGTCACCTTGTGGGTGGAAGGTGAAGTATTAATAGAACCATCCAACAACCATGTGGAGCATCAGGCTTGACATTTAGAGGATCGTCTGGAAAGCTTGTGCTTTCTCCATTCTCCACAGTAGGGGGGTACCAATTCAATCCAAAAACAGTGTAACCAAGTTGAACTATATATATCTGGACACTATGAAGTGCAAGTCTGGGAGAAGGTTCCTAAATGTTCACCCTACAAGAGCACAGAAGCTCATGCTTTCTTTGGTATAGGTGCACAGCAGGATAGACTCCCACCTCTCCCATGAAAATAGCCCCTCAACTGAAATCATATTTGGGTTGTCTTAGCACCCTTGATAGGCTAGGCCTACAAGCCTTAACTGTCGGCAAGGTTAGCATTTAACGTAACCTGATGTCTTATTATATACACTCTGTTTATATTGAATTTATATCTCCTGTAATGGCATCACCCCTACTAATGGTACCAATTCAATCCAAAACACACACAGAAGCAATCTTTAATGGGTCCTTGGGAAATGGAGGAACAAGATTTGGACACCCACATGAAAATGTAATATATATATGAAACAGCATTTATTTAATCAGTCCATTATATATGGGGGCATATTTGAACACATATTGCCATCCAGATATAAAAATACAAGGGGTGGTCAAAGTCATTTTAATTTTGCACTCATCTGCATATGCATGGTGGAACACAAGTTTGGCCAATGCAGCTTCTCAACATAGTCCCTCCCATTGTCAATGCACCTTTTCCAACATTGTGGGAACTTCTGGAAGCCATGAAGTGAACCTCATTGACATGCATGGGAGTGGACGTGATGGGACAACAAGAGTGGGGTGCATTGGCAGATGTCATTTGTCAGTAAGTGAAAGATCGTTCCCAGTTGTAACTGTCTGGGCAGTTGGTGCATGTGCTTCACAGATTGTTTGCAACCTTTGCATCATGTTGGCAGTCACAGCACCTTCCTGCCACAGAAACAAAACAGTCCATAATTGCCCACACTTGTCTACCTCCATCCTTGTCCTTGCATATGATCACCACTGAGTCAATCTCCTGTTCTCTCAATGACTGGGATTGGAGTTCATACTCACAACAATCACTACATGGTGGCAGGTACCCAGCCTTATGCTGAATACAGTTGGCAGTTTGGTAGCATATATGATTGTCCCAAGGGAAACATTAAAAAGACTTTTTGACTGCCCTTCATATATGAAACACATATGAGGTTTGACACAACTCATATACAATCATATCAGAATGAAAATATATGGCCCCATACATTTTCTTATATTGGCTCATACAATTGCACCATATATTTCCCATATATACCATGTCATATCATGTTCATATATGAAGCCATACATACTGTGTACAGGGTGTTCATATTTAAGCACAACTTAGGGAAATTTTTGCCACCTGTTTGTGGAGTTCAATGGGTGCCTTATGGCTAACCGTGTTGCATATCTGGAAGGTTGAAACCTATAGCTGGTGTGTTTCCTTGCAGATAGGCAACCTGGTGGGCCTTATAGCGTTTGCTGACCTCCACCTACAGGCGGCAAAATATTCCCTATGTTTTGCTTAAATACGAACACCCTGTATGTGTGACTTCAAGTACAGGAATATTATTCCAGGTTCTTTGCTTCATTGGCTTTACTGTCTGCTACTGAAGCAGTGTTTTCATTTTAACACAGGTCAATGTTGATGCAGTGGTCATATCTTCCAGATGTCCAAAGTATCATTACAGATGGAACAAATTCTAAATGAAAGCACAGTAGATAAAAGTAAAGATTTTCATATTTTCTGTATATTTATTGCAACAAAGTTTTTCAGCCAATGAATTGAGTAGGAAATCTTTGTATATGCCCACAGGGCATGAATTGACCAAAAACTTATGAATTAGTAAATTAATGTAGTGCATCCAAAATTTTTGAGATGCCACTGGTGTACATACATCAGTGCCCTTTGCTCATTATGTTTGTGTATATTTTATTCAAAACAGCATGGAAACAACACTGCAACAAAGGTATATTGAATAACAAATAATCATAGGTGAGATATTAATTAAATAGCGTCTGAGAGTCAGACCTATGTCTGCATGTCAGGGTATGTGGACTCATACAGGGGTCATTTCAGAAGTCATTGCGATAAATTTTTATTTAATTGCACTGCATTGAAATTTGTAACCATAACCTTATTTTCTTTCACCCTCTTGACTTCTCTTGCAGCTTCATTCCTTAGGAAAATAAAGCTTCAAAAAAGGCCTCCCTTGCTATTTCTTGTTTCTGAAGGTTTATTACAACAATGCCAACGTGAAGCAAGTGGATGTGCCATCTTACAGTGGGAGCTTCGGCATTCTGCCAAACCATGTGCCCACACTGGCCGTGCTCAAGCCTGGTGTCATCACTGTCATTGAAAATGATGGAAGTCCAAAGAAGTTTTTTGTCAGTTCGGGCACCGTCACCATCAACGATGATTCATCTGGTGTGTCCTGTCATTCCATCAAATCTTATTACGTAACTTAAAAGCCTGCAGTATAATCCGCTTATTTCTTGATTTATGTCTGCATACTGAAACTGTTGTAATTCAAAATTATTGTCTGTCTTGGACATGAGAAGATCGAGTTAATCGTGTAAAACTCTACTCATGGAATGTTCACCACGCTTTCACCACCTAACAATAATTTGCCTAGTTCATTTTGTTGGAGAGGATAGAATAATGATTTTTCTATTACAATGATGGAATGAATGTCACCTTGTCCTTGAAGAGTCTAAGGCCCAAACGCTGAAACTTAATTTAGGTGAGATGAAAGGGCCTTTAAGCTAAGGAGCTCGTTTCGTCCATTGGAGCCCATGGATTCTCGAAAGACTGTTGGAGGTGGTTTCGGTTTTTGGACCTTTGACAAACTTTTGAAATTCACGTGTTCGTCTGCGTCTGCCTTATGTGTAGACCAAATGAGTCGCACTCCCACTTTTCCCAGACGATGAGCACAAGTTTGAAGTATCAGTTTTTTTGGGACTCATTCATTCATAGCAGATAGTTCAATATACTGTACAAGGGTCATTTCAAAAGTTTCCTGTATGGCCCTGCCTCGTAGTACAGGTTGGTGATATGGTGTGGGCGAGTGCTAGATACATATCGTTACTAAGTGGCTGGCGTGACTTATCGCTGCTATCAGTTTGAGCGTAGCGATGGAGCGAGAAGCTTGTTAGTCTAGCTTTACTGTCCGTAAGAACAATGATTAAATTACACGTCCATCTAGCGAAATCTCCAAAGGAGATCCATGGTCTCATGTGTCAGACTCTGGGAAGTCGTACACCTTCGTGTGAGACAGTGAGTTGGTGGATGAATGTGATTGCGTTCCGAACGTGACAGCGTGAATAACGCCCCACGCGAAGGCCGGGCAAGTACCGTCACTGGCAGGGACCACGTTGTGAGCGTCAAAGCAGTGTTGGAACGTGATCGCAGGGCAACGCGCACTGGAATCGCGATGACAATTAATGCCAATTAGTTAATTGCATTGACATTACATTAATAGCAAAATTAATGCCAGGTTCCATGGGAATCCCAGTGTGCTTTGCCCTGCGATAACGTTTCAACACTGCTTTGATTCGTGGGCATCACTCATGCTGTCACGTCTGGAACGAATCTCATCGCCTCTCAGATAAATCCACAACCAGTAATCCTGCTCTAAAGCAAGTGTAAAAAAAAAATTCGATGGCGCCCTAATTTATAATCTTGAAGTTCATGGCCATCCGCCGAGCATTCAATTCATCCTTATCACCCAGCACACCCTTTTTATTTAGTACAGTTACCTTATGAACACCTTGTATACAATTTTTGGAGGTACTTTTTGTAAAAGTCCAAAATCACAATATATGATGAGATGCATGCCCGTAATTTGGCGAATATAAGACAGCCCGCGCGAGCGGAGCAGGAGAGAGGCGGGTAGAGGTAAAGGGAGGTAGAGGGACTGACGACAGGGAGAGATCAGATTATAATCCTACATTCAATTCAAGGAGCTTCCCCTCCCCCCAAATCAGGTTTCCAATATGTAGGCGATTCTGACGTGACTTATGGTCCTACGTGGTCACAGACAGGTCACCAGCGTGTTCGAAGGTATAGAGAACTGGCTTCGCTTCTTTTTCAATGTAATACATTTATTTTGACAATCTGTGTCGGGATAGATCGATATAAATGAGGGCCTGGAGGGATAAAGGGGAGAGTTTCTTGCCTGGTTCTACGCCATTTTATGCAATACTGGGAAAAGACAGTACCTCTGCGATTGATGTGGGAACAGAATTTAAGTACGCTGCATTACTTGAAATGTTAGGGGGGGGACTTCTTGAATTTGAAGCAGGGTTACAAACTAGTCTCTGGTCTCTACTTGTCCCTGGCGCCTGTCTCTCCCTTACTCCGCTTATGGGGAGCCTACAGTGTGGTCAAAAATTCACGATCGAATAAGCAGTATGAAGCATAAACTGTTTATTTACATTAGCAGATTAACAACATATCATATTACAATTAGGGATGTAACGATATTATATCGGTATCGGTTATCGGGCCGATATTTACTAATCAGATAAATATCGGCATTCCGATATTTTGCTTCGTCGATATTCAATATCCAAGTGCATGATGAACGTCCGCTTCACTCAATATAAATCCAACGTAACCGCTGACACCATCATCCAGTGATGTTTCTGTCAGTATTTTTGCTTATGTAGTCACAGGCCTACCTCATAAACATTGGGCGCCATAAACGCTTCCCTGAATCCAGTTGTCATATATCAATACTCTACACCGTTCTCGCTGAAGGGAGTCTAATGACATTTGACACCTGTTTGGAGGGAGAGAGACTGTAAATTTGAACGGAATCGGGAGTTAGTACTACGCCTACAGAAGCAGGCACCATGACAGCCCTAATAGCAATGGGATTCTGCTCCACTTAAATGATCCGCATGTAAGCCTTTGAAGTAAGATGTATTTGTTCGTCTTGTGAACATCCTTCTACACAAGGCTTTCGCTTTTCCAGCATCAGGGTTCTGAGATTGCCAGGATAAACGCGATGTATTTATTTCTCTCTTCCCTTAATCCTGTGATTCTTCCGATCGTGATTGACTAGAAGAATGAAAGTGTGGCATCCTAGGCAATTGACGTGGAACTTGCACGTATATACGACGGGTGACTAGGAAAGGCCAGCATAATCTTCGCTCCTGGGAAAACCTTGAACCTTTCGGGATCAGGAATTTCTTTTTTTCCCTCTGTAAGCGTGCATGATGATCAAAGCAAATATAGAAACAGGAAGGAATACGTTTTCCGCATGTTGTGCACTTGAGATGGGGCCAGTAACAATGAAAAAAAGAAGCAAAAATTCAGTCAAGGTTTGACGATAATGCCGCCAAACTGCCGATTTGCGCACAAATCGTTCATCAATGCAAGCATTGGGGGCTTCAGGACCATTCAGTACCTAAAAGATTATGAAAGCATGGGTTAGTCGCTGTTAGATATGCAGGATGTCTCATATCCATGTTCCATCTCTCCCTTTTACGTCATAACCCTGGGGTTATGACGGATATGATCTTATTGGTTGACCAGACGCCGAACACGTCTCCTCCAAGGGTTGGGAGATGAAACAGAAAAGAAACTCTTGATCATTAAAAGGTGAATGGCGTTTCGAAACGTTGATTCTCACACAATTGGACAAGCATACACAATTGCAGAATGATTTGAGCAAGGGTTTTGACAGAAATGGACGATGGGAGGGTAGATGGTATGAGATTGAGGCGGGAAAGCAACAATGGGGAGCATCTTCCGGTTCCGTTCGGAGGACGAACAAGAACCAATGCACTCCATTTAGTTGTTGGACTAACGTTAGACCTATGTCTAGGCCTACATTACTTCTCATGAAAAAAGTACTAGAAAAGCACACCAAGATGATGTACGGTGCCAAAGGATGAATCTCAGTCATAGTTATAGAAAGATTGAGCTTGGCTAAGGTGATGGTTCACAAACGGAACGGTGAGCAGAAGTTGTGGTATGACATCGGGCATTGGTCAAGATACTAACCTCATTTGCTTACAGAGACCTAATAAAGAGGAATGAATCAGTTTTTATTAGTATGCTTAAGCCTACATATCCAAATCGGGCTACGATGGGAAAAAATTCATCTGCCTAAGATTGCTTAGACCTTTGCCATGACCTGACTGAGGACATGCCTTTGTCCAATCTTTCATGAGACGATGTACGGAAAGAACCAATCGAAGTTCGTTCTATTCAGAGATTAATGTTCCACTATCTATTATTGTTTATTTACCTTGATTATTTGCCATTTTTAATTGTTGAACTACTGGATTTCAGAAAAATTCCTCAATGAGTGTCTACTGGAATTACTTCTCCAAAAACCCAGTAAGTGAACTCATTGCAAAATGCAATCTATGTGGTCTGGATGTAAAGCGAGGAGTAACTAATCCAAATAAGTGTGGCACAAAGAACTTAGCATCCCACTGAAAAAATCATCATAGAGAAGTGTCTGAAAAAATTGAAGACCATGCTAAGAGGAAGAGACAAATTAGTTTCAGTGCACAGGGACTTTTACAACCTGACTTCCTTCCTTCAGGAAGTGAAAGAAGGCAGCAACTTGAAGAGGAAGGTTTAGATGATCCAGGAATATCCCCTGTCTCATCACAAGCAACATCATCATTGTCACAGGGAAGACCTAGATATACTGCTGATGGATCACCTCAGTTACGACAGATAAGTTTGCAGGAGTCCATCTCAAGAAAACAGCAATGGAAGGCTAATGATCCCAGGAAATTACAACTTGATAGGTCTATAGCTGAGATGATAGCCCTGGACTTCCAACCATTCTCCATGGTTGAGGATATAGGTTTTCAGAGGCTGATGGCAGCTGCAACACCACGATACAAAATACCCTCTCGACCCTACATCAGTGAGACAGTTATGCCTCAGCTGTATGACAAGCTCAAGGTGAAGCTGAGAAATCTCTTGAAGAACATGGATGCCCTCAGCTTCACAATGGATATTTGGACAGATGTTGAAAGTTTTGTTGGTATCACAGTACACTTTGTCACATTGGACTTTCAGTATAAATCAACTGTTCTGGCTGCAACACCTCTCATAGGGAAACACACTGGTGAGAACATCATGTTGAGAGTTGAAAATACCTGGAGGGATTGGGGAATCCCACATTCACAAGTTGCATGTGTTGTATGCGATAATGGGGCAAACATGAAAAAAGCAATTGACCTTTTGAAGTGTCCTGCTTCACCCTGTGCAGCACACACCATTCAGCTAGTTGTAGAGAATTCTGTGCTCTCACAAAGAGCAGTCTCTGACCTTCTTGCCCTTTGCAGGCATATAGTTGGGAGATTCAAGCATTCTGCCAGTGCAAGGGATAAATTTGCTGAACTCCAGGTACAGTACAATTTACCAAAACATCAAATGGTGCAGGATGAGCCTACCAGATGGAATAGCAAATTGTATATGCTCCAGCGCCTTCTGGAGCAGAAACCTGCAATTATTGACTTTACATCTGATGAGGATGCTATGCCACAGCTACAGGCTAATCACTGGACTTTAATGAAGGGAATGATAATGCTTCTCACACCACTAGAGGAATTCACCAGGAAGGTGAGTGCTGTACAGCAACAGTTTCTCTGATTGGTCCCCTTCTGTGGGGCATGAAAGAAGTGTTGGAGTCACAGTCATGTAGAGGAGTTGAAACCATGAAAACAGAGATCTTAACTGGAATAGATGCAAGATTTAAACCCTTGCTACAAGGAAAGATTGTATGTCTCTCAACCCTTCTGGATCCTAGATTCAAAGCTGCCATGTTTCCCAATCAGGAAATCAGACATAGAGCTGAAAGTTTTCTAAATGAGGAAATGCAAGGCTTGTCAGAATCTGAGAGCATGCTTGTAGATGAGCAAGTTTTCAAGCATGGACAAATGCAGGTTGAGGGTGAATCACCCATCTGGGCTGCCATCCAGCAGGTTGAGGGTGAATCACCCATCTGGGCTGCCATCCAGCAGGTTGAGGGTGAATCACCCATCTGGGCTGCCATCCAGCACAGACTATCACAGTCACTGTATGGGGGGGAAGGGGAACACCAAGAGGAGTGTTATTCCTTGTCATGCATCCGTGGCCAGGAAACCACCAACTATCTTTCTTCTCCCATTGCAATTAATGAATCTCCCTTCATATTCTGGAGAGACCAAGGGCCTCAGTATCCAAGACTGAGCCAGCTTGCAAAGCAGTATCTTAGCATTCCAGCTTCTAGTGTTGCCAGTGAGAGACTTTTCGGTAATGCTGGGATGGTGTACACTGACCAGCGAAAGCGTCTGTCTCCGGAAAAGGCAAATATGCTTCTCTTTATACGAAGCAACTTGAAATTCTTCGAGTTCTTCTCTTCTTGAAATTCTTCTCAAACTTCGAGTACTAAGTGAAACTACACCCTCCAGTCTTGTAGAAATGTTTGTGGGAAGCAATAAACCAGAAGGAAAAAAAAAACTAGTTTCCTTGACCGCTTTTTCTTTTCTTGGATTCTTGTTTGAAAGCTTCATTCAAATTTTTCCCCCATAACATCGGATATCGATATCGGTTATCGAATATCGGAATACAAAATATCGTATTATCGGAATATCGGAAAATTCTAATATCGTTACATCCCTAATTACAATATGCATAGTTTAAAATCTATAGTTTCTATGTGGATGCCATCATGCTCAAGGCACTTGTGTCTGTGGCCATGACTCTCGTAACAATAAAAGTTAAGTGTACAGGGACATGTTTCCACGTGCATGGTGTTGAGTACGACAGAGACATGGATAAATTCGCGATCTATGGGGAGCAACCCTTACTAACATCTTGGCAATAAAAATATTTGAAAACCTGAATATTTACTAGCTATTTTTCAGTAAAGCCGGTCTGATCGTGACTTTTGAACCACTCTGTATATCATCTTAGCCCTTAAACGACCAAGCTGGGTCAAATTTGACCCAGAGCCTATGTTATAGCACGCGTAACTTAGAGGCTTGGTAGTTTAAGGGTTAATTATGGGCATTCGTCTTGTCATCTACAGTGATTTTGGTCTTTTACAAAAAGTACCTTTCACGAAATTTCATTTGGCAAGTGACAGTTGCTGTGCCTTTTGTATTCTTGAGGTGCTTTTTTTCACGTTTATTGAATATGTGTTGAAACAAACAGTGCAAGTGCTGGCTGAGGAGGCGGTAAAGGTGGAGGACCTGGACCCGAGTGCATGCCGAGAGACGCTGCACTGGGCACACGGTCAAGTGTCGTCCGCTGCAACGGACGAAGCCCGAGCGGAAGCCCAGGTCGCTGTCGAAGTTGCCGAAGCACTCGTCAAAGCTTGTGAATAACTCCTGATGCTATATTTACTTCTTCTTCCGTACGGCTAGTTTTCAATGGTTGATCATCTCATTTGCAATAAAGTTTGTTAGATGTCCTTTTGCATTTCTTAGATGAGCTTGAAAGGTTCAAGATGAACGATTGCTTAGAAATGTGGTTAGTTGTTTCCAGAGAATGGCTGATTCGGCTGAAGTCATACTGACGAATTTATTTGCGCAAATTAAATACGTGGGATTCTCAGTGCTCACCCAGATCTTTAATCTTGCACTCTGAGAACATAAGATCGCACACACAGGAAAGAGAAACCTATTCACCTCTACAATGACAACGGATGAAGGAAGAGATTGGTGGAGATCTAGGTCGAGGCGGAAGAACATCGATTTCATTAAGACTTCCTTAAGCTGCTTCAACAATTTTTTTTTTCGTAATATGCATTCTGGCACCCTCGCATGTGCTACCTGTCCTGCATGGCATAAAACGCATACACACTTGCACACACCACAAACATTTTCCACGTACGAAAGTTCTGCTGAAGAGGGAAAGAGTTGGAATCTGAAAATCCTCTTATGAACGAATAAATGAGCCATTTTATTTTTCTTGTCAGGATTTTGGTTTCTATGGCTGCAACTACAGTCTTGGAAATAAAGCAATGATGGTAGTCTAATTTCAATTAAGAAAAATATGTATGAAAATAGTATTTAAAAGAAATAATTATCTCACAAACGTTCCACTTGACAAGACAAGGAAGGCAATGCTTGACTCATTGATTTGAAATCGAGGACTAGAAATGCTCTATCAGCTCTTCCCCCGCTTTATCGGCTGAGCATCACGAAGCCTCTATATTTCTTTCCCATGCTCGCAAAAAAAAAGTGCAGAGTGGCCAAAAAAACAACAACAACTAGGGTATCTTTCCAAGGGAGATTTCTCCGGGATCAAATTTGATGGGGAATGAAAAATGGCATGTTATTTCAAACATCGGTTGATTGATTCTAAAGTTACAGCCAACGGCGCATGGGACGTGACTTCAGTCGAATAAACAAGCCCGAGATCCATGGAGGCGGCCAGCGCACCCACTGGAATCAGATTTTCTTTGAGGCCAGCTAACTTGAAAATTGCATGAACATTTTCTACGAAGTTTACAGCTCATTCCAAGTTCAATGAGATATTCTTGAAAATCGGTTCTTCCGAGCAAATCATCAATAGCTGAGGCAACACGGCCAGTATCCATACATACACGACCGAGTAATTACTGCAGCAGTCGGCGAGTACCACAGCCCTTATCTCCAAGGACTTCGATCAACGCCTTGTCTTAGGAATGAGGCATGTTTACAAGCATCTGAAATATGTGTAACATGAAAGTCAACTACAAACAGTCCGCTTAATACATCAGTAGTGAGAAAGAAAACCAACCCACTGGCAGAAAGTCAATTCACAAATAAACGGCCACTACCCTGCCCAACGGTCAGGTTTTAACTATTGCCCTCAATCTGCTGGAACCGCTTGTTTTCAATTGGAAAGCCCCGCCGCCTCCAAAGATCTCGACCCTGTTTCCTCGACTGGCGTCTTGTCCCGTGCACCGCTGGCTGTAACTTAAGACTCGAGCAGCGTTGGACGGTAACGAAGTAAAAGTAACGTGTTACTATTACTAATTAAATTTTTACGGTAGTTTCTGTGGTAACAAGTTACGTTGCAGGGATTTGTAACGGAAGTTGTAACTACAGGGTGTCCGGTAAGTCTGGAATCATAGGGAAAACAATCATTTTCTTCTCGTTGTTTCGAGTTCTAATCACGAATATCGAGTGAAATGCATTTGAAAGCTCATCAAAATACACGATATTGATCATCTTAAGGAGCGCATCACCAAAACTTGCGAAAAAAAATGACATCAGACATTAAAAAAAAAGTTCTATAAGAATGGGAACATCGCCTCCTAATGTGAATTGACGAGAATGGCGAGTACATTAAACGTATTTTCTAACTGGAAGCGTGAAGGGAAGTTTCCCCTGTTCCCTGACTTACTGGACACCCTATAGTTTATTTTCCAGAGAAAATTAATGTCTGTAGCGTTACTGCAACGCATTAGTTTATTGATGACAGACTCAACTTCAGATAAAGGTGACGAGCGCTGTATTGTAGCATCCATCCTTGCCATCACTGAAATCGCTAACAATGCTAAGAACACAGTTCAAGTTCTTTACATTTCAGCCAGATGAGGGAACTACATAGTGTAATCGGTAAAATTTTCACCCTTAACTGAGATTTTCTCAAGTCAGCTTTGAGAAGCAGCTCCTGCGAGCGTACACAACACATACGAGGGCCACTCAATAAGTTATCTACCTGAATATGAAAGGGATGAGCAACAGGCCTGTGCCTGCTGTGACATGTCTCGACAGGTCTCGTGAGTGCCCCACCACTATACCAGCTCAGTGGCTCAAGTCCGTTCAAAGTGGTAGCGCATTAGATTTCTTTTCCTGAGTCTGTGTCATGGATTTGACGAAAGTTGAACATCGTTCAGTGATCAAATTCCTCACCAAAGAAGGGAAAGCACCTAAGGAGATTCATGAACGTATGTCTAACGTTTATGGTGTGTCTTCGCCTTCTTATTACCAAGTTAAATTTTGGAGCAAGCAGTTTAAGTGGGGAAGAGAGTCAATTGAAGATGACCCAAGGTCGGGGCGCCCTGTGGAGGCTTCTGATCAGGAAATGTGTGACAAATTGGAGAGTGCGATACTGGAGGATCGTCGCACCAAAGTCTCTGTTTTAGCTCATGAACTGGGGATTTCAGAGGGCACAGTGATTCACATTATTCATGAAAAATTACACATGTCCAAAGTCAGTTCTCGATGGGTCCCAAGAATGCTGACTCCAGCTCAGAAGAAGAACAGATCTGACATCTGCAAGGAAAACTTGGAGTTTTCTAAACAAATCGGGGAAACTTTTTTTCCCAGAATAGTAACTGGTGATGAAACTTGGGTTCATCACTGGGATCCCGAAACCAAGCAGGAGTCCATGCAGTGGAAGCACAAGGGATCGCCAACGCCTCGCAAATTTCGTGTTCAGAAATCTGCAGGAAAGATTATGGCCACTGTGTTTTGGGACAGCGAGGGACTACTGCTGCTTGAGTTCATGCCAGACAAGTGTACAATCACTGGCGATTCCTATGCTACCACCATGAAAAATTTACATGATGCCATCGAGGAAAAACGCAGAGGAAAGTTGTCAAGGGGGGTCCTTCTTCTCCATGACAACGCGCCCGTCCACAAATCATGGAAAGTTCAGGCAGCAGTGAGGGAGTGTGGCTTTCAGGAGCTCAACCATCCTCCCTACAGCCCGGATCTGGCTCCTAGTGACTATTTTCTGTTCAGACACTTGAAAAAATTTTTGCGGGGAAAAAGATTTTCATGTAATGAAGAGCTGAAGGTTTCAGTTTCTGATTGGTTTGATGGACAAGAAGTTGACTTCTATTCCCAGGGAATAAAATCCTTGGAATCAAAGTGGAATAAGTGTGTTGAGTTAAAAGGTGACTACATTGAAAAATAAAGTGTTATTTTTCCCCTAGGATGTTTCTTTCTTATTCAGGTAGATAACTTATTGAGTGACTCTCGTACTCTCTGTCCCAAAAACTTTTTTCAATTTGTAGCTTCTCGTATTTAGTTCAGATTATCGCTGTGCGCTTTTGAGGGCTGACTAAGACATCAAATGAGCACTTGCTCGCAAAGTTGTATCAAAATCCATTGATTCATTTCGGAGATGCAGCAGCTTATTAAGGTTAAGTAAGGTTGCGGTGGACCTTTGCCTTGGGCTGCACTCGGCGCGAGCACAGCCAGCCAGAGAGTGGAACTCACCGTTACCCTGTCGCAGGAGAATGCGAACCGTGCAGCGTTTGGGTTTCGGTCAATGTCACGTGCCTGTTCACAGAATGACACGGTGGGCACTTCGAGCACCTCATCCGAGTGTCAAACAGGAAAGATTAATGCAGTTATATTGGTCGTGCGCATCACGTCAGTCATCCTGTATAAGACACAATACTGAACTTGGACTAATGCCCCCGTACAGTTCTGGTGGCACTCCTTTACTACTGTCACGCTCTGAATCACCTCCTGTATTTCAAGAACCAGCGAGAGAATTGATCACTATTGTTATAACTTTGCATTCATGTGCTCATTTGATGCATTAGTCAGCCCACAAAGGCACAGCGATAGCCTGAACCAATTACGAGAAGCTAAAAATTTAAAAAGGTTCCAATTTTTTTAAGGACAGAGTGTACATCTAAATGACGTTGATGCGACGTTACCGCAACGTCTTTTAGCTCAAGTCACATTGCAGCAACGTTGCATGGACATCACGCGTTGCTTGGGATACGAGCGCATCGCATGTTCGCATCTCCCCGGGAAAGCTCAGCCCAAGTTTATTGCATCCTCGCATGAAAATAAAAAGCTCCATTTCTTGGCAGTACTCTCACGGATCCGAGTCGTCTATCGAGAGGATTCCTCACGCTGAGCATATTCTACACTAGCATGTGAAAACCTTCCCTGAGATGCTATAAAATGCTAGGATGATAAATTCTGTATCACTCACTGGAATACTGCCAGAATGAAGACCAGTTCCAAGTCGACAGAGCTCAGCAAAAGCAACTTGAAAAATAGCTTGTAACTAGTTGCTATTGGTGAAAAGGAATTATTCATAAAACTAATTACTTCTAGGATGGAGTACTTGTACTTGCAGCTTATTTTTCGCATGGAACATGTCCAACGCCGGACTCAAGCAATCGAGTTTAACTAATGACATGCCAATACGCAGAGAAGGAGTTTCCAGTTCCCTCGTACAATTTTTTTTCTGGTCAACTAGTCTCAAAGTTCGAAAGTTCAGAGGGTCAAAGAGGTTCAAGCTGATCACACGGTCTCTAAAAGTGGCCTGGAGAACACGTTACACTCGGTTTGCAATGTGGGGGGCGCGCCATTTTGCATGAAGACTTCTCAATCATTTTATTGGCTCGCTGAAAACTGCTTCAGGGCTTGCAACGATGGCTTTAATACCCAGACCCATGTGATGTCACTATAATGTGCATCACCTTCCCATGACCATATTGAAATGAGA